AATTTTTTTTGAAGCAAGTGTGCAAAGGAACAAAAGATATTTGATGTGTTGTGTTAATTTTAATTTGTTTTGAATTTGATTGACCGATTGATACGGCGTACGCCAACCAATCGATTACTCAAGAAAAGTGTGGATGTACATCCATCCATCTCATTATTTGCAAAAGAGAAAAAAGATTAATTTGATTAGGAAAATAGTTGATATTTGAACAATTTTGTGTTACTCGTGTTTTTACACAGACTTTAAAATTATTTACAAAATAAATGGTGCAAAAGTTTTATTTTTTTGTCTTTTGTTATTTTTTATATTTTTTGTGATTAATGAAAAATAACCTAATAAAATAAAAGAATCATTTTTTATTTATTTTGAAAAGGAATTAAATAATCTAATACAAGAAATAAACTTTTTAATAATTAAACAAAAAAGCTAGGCTATGTAAAAATTAAACATGAGGAAAAATCTAAAAATATTAAATTAAATAGATTAGCCAATCAAACCTAATTTTTATATTTTTTAAATTAGGATAAAGTGAAATAAACAAATTTGTATATATTTTTTTATTTTTGATATTAGTTAAATAATCTAATAAGAATTAAAGAATTTTTTTATATTTTTTATTTTTATGATAAATATAATAAAAAAGAAATATCCCAGAAATAAGAAGAAAACAAATTTTAAAATAAGAGAAATCTATTAAGAATAAGGAAAATCTATAGAGAATAATAGAAACCTTTTTTTTATGCTAATAATTAAAAAGAGGCCTAAATTGATAAAAAAAGCTAAGAATTAAATTAATTGAACTAAATTTAACATGACATTTATTTTTATTTTTATTTTTATGTTTTATTTTTTTTTTATTTTACAATAAATTTGTTTAGAAATTAATTAAATTCCACATAAAAAAAACTTAAGTCTATAAAAGAAAATACTATTGATTGAAAAAACAAAAAGTGAATTTAAAATCAATTATTAAAAAAAAGTAAAATAAAAATAATCTATACATAAAAATTCTAGAAATCTCGCGTGAGAAAAAAAATGGAAAGACTACAATGACCAATAATGATAATAAATAATAATAAAATATAAACGAAGTATCAATGTTCGGGTTTTAGAAGAGGTCTTTTGAGTCATGTTTCAAATAAAAGTTTAAAGGAATAATAATAATATATAATCTATAACTATATATATAAAGGGAATACTTTATTTTGGTGTGGCTTATTTTTCTATCATTTTTGCCCTTGCTTTATTATATAATTTACTTAATAACTTTTCATTATTAACTTCCACATAACTTCTTATTATTAACTTTCACATATTGTATTTTAAAAAAAAATTATTTAAACAAAAAATATCGTTTATATTTTCATTCATGCGGATCAAAAAAACGGACAGACGGGCACGTGAGTGCCCGTCTGGACGCTAGTGACCAATAATGATAATAAATAATAATAAAATACAAAATGAAAAAGAAAAAGTGTAGGGTTATTTGATTTCACGTATGCACGATATGTCACAACCAAAATCAACTCTATATCACTTATATTTATTTCAAAAAAAATCAACTCTATATCACTTATATTTATTTCAAAAATGAAAAGAAAATGTGGTTATCATCTCTCAGCACATACGCAATATAAGACAACAATTTCTCTCTTTTTTTTTTTAATAATTAGTGAGGATGGTGTGATGATTGTTGTGGTGTTTATGTTTGGGATATGGTTTGGTAGTGTGGAAGATGAATATGGTTATGATGGTGAATAATGTTTCGTCTATGGTTTTTTAAAGTAAATTGAAAGGGTAGTGATGATGAATATTGATGTAAGAGGTTTAGAAAGCGACGATGGAAGGTTTGAATAATAGAATCTTAGTGGTGTTGGGAAAAAACGTGAAAGATAGGTTTTTTGGAATATTTTCTTGGTGGATTTTTGGATGTTTTGAATTTGTGTGAGGGTTTTCAATGAGAAAGTTGTGCGATGGTGAAAAAAATTCTTTGATATTTATAGAAAAACACACAAATTCAATTCTAATTGATTTATTTTTTGAAAGATTTGTATGAATGAAACTGATTGTGATTTGATTTGTAGCTTGAGGACCAATTTGTACAAATTTGAAAAGTATCTGTGAATTCTTTGATGTAATCTCGGATTAATGAAAAAAAATTATTTTGATGATTTGGTCTAATTTTGCATATATATATATATATATATATATATATATATATATATATATATATATATATATATATATATATATATATATATATATATATATATATATATATATATATATATATATATATATATATATATATATATATATATATATATATATATATATATATATATATATATCACAAAATGCATAAAATATTTTTAAAAATTAATTAAAAATGAAAATAATATTAAATATCCCTAAAAAATAAATATTTGACTCAGGGTTTGAACTCATGACCTTGCACTTGACATTTATAAATACTTACCAACTAAACTAATTGACACTTTTGATTTTATAATGCTAAAGATGAAATAATAAAAAGAAGCTGGGCAAAATTTAGGGCACGACAGTAACAATGTAACCTTTGATTCTTCTGGATGCAGGGTTATAAAATCAAATTCAAATCAAACCATCTTTACTAGTTCACGAAGTGGAAATACCTGCATCACGAGTTTAAATAAAACCCCTTCAATGATGTACGTATTTTGAGTAACGAGGATGAATCTCGTCTATGACATATGAAAGTAGCTCATACTCACATGTATCATATGAACAAGTTGGTCCGCTGGGATTTAGAGATTGTTTTTCCAAACTTATAGTTTGAAAAACAAGAGTTATGCAATGCATGCTAAAAGTTGTTTGTGCCAAACTTATGGTTTGAAATACAAGGGTTATGCAATGCTTGCTAAAAGTGTAAACAAGTAAAACTCTCCTTTAAATATGAAAATATTATTTCTATAAATAGACATTTACAGCTATTTCATATGGATCTTTTTGGCACATTCATGACCATGAGTTTTGCTGAGAATAATTATCATGATTTTCATAAGTTTTTAGATATCCTATGTTTGTTAACCATAATTTAAGTGTGGCATATCAAATAAAGGCCTTATTTTATCATATTTTAACCATGAAAAATATATACGAGGTCCTCCTTAGCCACATTTTATACGTGTTAAATTCTGAGCCATGTGTGGTAGCCCGCCTGGTATGCCCTCAAAGATGTCTTAGATTACTATGTTGTTGTAGTTGTAAATGACTATTCTCGTTACATATGAACGTTATCTCATAAAAGAGACGTGTTTGATTCCTTTCAAATATTAAGCAAGGTTATCGAAAATGAGAAGGCCTAAATATTGCATCAATCCAAAGTGATAATGATAGTGAATCCCAAAATGTGAATTTCGAGTACTATTGTAATGAGAATGAAATTGAGCACACTTTTTCTTCTCCACGAACTCCCCCGACAAAATAAGGATATTCAAACAGAAAAGTAGATTGCTTCAAGAGCTGGCGAGAACGATGGACTATGAGACTAATCTTCCTAATTACTTTTGCATTGATGTAGTATGCAAAGTTTACTATGTGATGATTCGTGTCTTGAATATACCAATTCTAAAACAAACTCTTTATGAGTTACACAAAGGAATGAAACCTAATATTGTTCACCTCCATGTGTTCAAATGCAAACGTTTTATAGAAGAATTAGTTCATGTTATCTTTAATGAAACTAACCCAAAGTCAATAGAAATAAATGTTGATTGTGCATGTATCTTGAATAAGACATATCTAGAAATTAAAGATCAAGATCAAGATCAAAATCAAGGCAAAGATCAAGACCAAATTAAAAAAAAACGATCCTCAAAATAAAGATTCAAACATTGATCATTAAGATCTTCTAAAAAAAAAATAAGAACCACAAGAAATCATCCAATACAAAATATCATTAGAGATGTTTCTTATAGAGTCACAACGTAACACATTCTTAACTAAATATATAATCTTATGATTTTTATTTCTCAAATTAAGTAAAAAAAAAACATCAATGAAACTCTCATAACATTAATCACTCGCCATACATTTAATTTAATTTCTCTTTCAATGTTTCCACAACCAATAACTAATTAAAATTGTGTCTATACCTCATCATAAGTATTACAAAACACAAAAAATATGACCTCAATCATTAAATGATTTTTTTATTAAGTAATTTTTTTTGATAAATTCTTTAGTTCCCATGAATTTAATTGTATACTAATATCATTGTGTTAAAATTTTAATTTATTTTAAAATTAAAAAAAATATATAACATTAAATTATAATATTTGATTGATTGAGGGTGCACCCTATTAAATTGAAGGATTTAAGAGGATTCACCAATTCTTTTATACTTTGTTTATACTTAGGAAGCTATCATTTATATCCCTCCGTTAATATTAAATCATTTATATTTCTGCATTTAATGTTAAATATTCATTCAATTATCATTTCTCTTGAATCAATTTCCATCTCTAGTAAAATAAATACAGTAAAAGACTAGATTAACCTCTTCTTTTTGGAATAAACAAATTACTATATCAACTCATTGATTTATATCTGACAATGAATGACAGGTGTCATAGAGTGTTATATATATATATATATGGTAAGATTGAAAGAAAAGGAAAAAAAGCATTTTTGATTGATAGTATAGTATTTTGTTGCGTTCCCATTCGGCCATTTCCTTGTCCTTCGCGTTTCCTATCACAAATCGTTTTTTTCTCTCCACCCCATTTCACACTTTCCTACAAACAAACACACACTTCTATCTCTCGTTCCTTTTTTGCGCAAAAATGATAGCTTTTTTCAATCTGAACCCATAAGGTACGTCTTCTTCTTTTCGGATTTTGCTATTGGATTTGTTATTTATTCACGCATCGTTGATGTAATGCGTTAAAGGTTTGATTTTGTTTCTTGGGTCAGTGTTCTTCCAACTGTTTGATCATTTTCCTCAACCAAAATTCATCATGTCTAGCTTTGTGGGTGTCCTTGTTTCTGATCAATGGCTTCAGAGCCAATTCACCCAAGTCGAACTTCGAACCCTCAAATCAAAAGTAAGTTTTTTTAATTTATTTTATTTAAATTGTACCCTTTGTTTGTTTTCTTGATTATTGATAAGAATCTCGATGTATCTGATTGTGAAATTGTGAAATGTGGAATATATTTGTAGTATGTATCCCAAAGAACTCTGTCGGGACGTGTTACTGTGGGAGATTTGCCACATGTTTTCAATAAATTGAAGGCTTTCTCTGAGCTTTTTACCGAGGATGAAATTAAGGATGTATTGGCAGAGTCATATCAGAACATGGATGATGAAATTGACTTTGAGTCCTTCCTTAGGGTGAGTCTTTTTACGTTCTTGCGTTGCTGTTCTTCAAATGTTAAAGCTTTACATTTCTGTTCCCATTCGTTTTTTTTTTAATTGTTTTATATGATTCTTCTGTCTTAGAATATGTGTGTATGTTGATTTCCTGAAGAAATAGTATGATAATGGATAAATTATACTCATCTCCCTAAGGTATGCTTAAATGATGCATCTACTCCCTTGAGTTAGGAAAAGACATTGACATCTCACTCAATTGCCTGAATCTCCCATCTATCATGTAAAAAAAGAGGGTGTGTATGTGTTTCATTTAAGCAAAACTAAGGGGAGGGTTGTATGCAATTTTTCCAACAAATAAGAGGGGGCGTGAGCGTTACTTAAACATTCCTCATAGTAGATGAGTACAAATTTCCACAAGAGCATACCAGAATCTCGTTTGATGCTCAATTTGTTTCTATGGTCTTAGCATTATGCACCTAACTTGAATGTATACTTTTGTTTTTGTTTTGAATGTCTGAGTGGGAAAATATATTCAGTTTATTTGCAAGTACTTTTATAGGTATTATTTATATTGAACCCAGAAGCTTATTTATTGACATTGTGTGGTAGGCACATTTAAATTTGCAAGCTCGAGCTATAGCAAAAGATGGCGGTTCAAAAAGTTCTTCTTCATTTTTGAAGGCAGCCACAACGACTGTTCATCATGCAATTAATGAATCTGAGAAGGCTTCTTATGTTGCACATATTAACAGTTACTTGGCTGAAGATAAATTCATGAAGCAGTTTCTTCCAATTGATCCAGCTGCAAATGCATTGTTTGATCTTGCTAAAGATGGAGTTCTGCTCTGGTAAATGATCGGCACACAACACGAGATCAATCTATTTTAAAAGACAAAAAATTTTTGCTCTCCAATTTTATTGGTTATTTTAATGCTGCAGCAAGCTTATTAATATCGCTGTTCCTGGGACCATAGATGAGCGAGCTATTAATACAAAACGGGATCTTAATCCATGGGAGAGAAATGAAAATCACACCCTTGGCCTCAATTCAGCAAAGGCTATTGGGTGCACAGTGGTTAATATTGGTACTCAGGATATGGTTGAAGGAAGAGTAGGTTCAATCTTCTTTTTGTCCCTATCCCCTTTTTTGTGAATTGAAACACTTCAGTTATGAACATTTTCTTGTTTGTTAATTTGTAGCCTTATTTGATACTTGGTCTGATTTCACAAATAATCAAGGTATGCTACTGAAATCTACTCCCTTTTTACTTGCATAGTATGGAGCTAAGAGGAGGGATTGACACCTTTCTGATTTTGATTATTCATTGGAAAGACTTTTAAACTTACGCTGTGTTGTGTTTTTCGGTTTTTCCATTATGTGGCAACATTAGATTCAATTGCTAGCCGACCTGAATCTGAAGAAAACTCCTCAACTCTTGGAATTAGTGGAAGATGATAAGGTGATATTAGCTAATATAGTTCCTGCTATTTGTAATTAGGAAGTCCCATAATATTCTTTCTTTTACATAGAACTACAATTAAATTAAACCTCTTCATTATGTTATGATAAAATGACAGGATGTGGAGGAGCTTATCAGCTTACCACCTGACAAAGTTTTATTGAAATGGATGAATTTCCACTTGAAGAAAGCTGGATATGAGAAACAAGTTACAAATTTCTCTTCTGATGTAAAGGTGAGGGAAATGTTAATTCTTATTGTATGTTTACTTACTCTAATATAAATTGTAAGAAATGATAAAATTTAGTTAAGGTATCATGTAAATATATAATAATATAGGGCAGCGTAAACTGTAGAAAGAAATTAAAGAGCTATGTATACGTGTATAAAATTTAATGAAATAGTATCGTAGTACTCCTTATGAACCCCTTTTTGTTCTGATCTACTTGATCAGTGAAGAAACTGTGAACCTCCTTTTGTTCTGTTGTCCGTTACAGCGTTTAGTAATTTTCTAGGAATAAATTTACTGTATTGTCATATACCATAGCTGATTACTGAATCATTGTGTGGCACATTTTCTCACATAGCAGATGTTTGATAGATGTAAACAGATATGACATGGTTATAAGCTGCCACGGGTCTATTTTATTTTTAATGCTTTCTTCTTTGCAGGATGGAGAGGCTTATGCTTACTTGCTAAGTGCTCTTGCTCCGGAAGTTGCAGGCCCAGGTGCCTTGACCACAACTGATCCTACTGAAAGAGCAAAGATGGTTCTTGAGCAGGCAGAGAGATTAGATTGCAAGCGATACCTCACTCCAAAGGACATAGTGGAGGGGTCTCCTAACCTTAATCTTGCATTTGTTGCTCAAATATTCCAGCATAGGTATGGGTTACTTTAAACATGTTGCAAATTGTGCTATTCACTTTGTTGCAATTTTTTGGGGGCATGCTTCGAAGAACCTATGTTCTTTCTTCTTTACCTTTTCTATTGGGAAAAGAGTGTCTCCTTTAATTTTTTCAATAGGCTTCTGACTTCTGAGTATCAGGATCTTATGAATATAGAAAGATTGTTCTTTCTTACGATTCTTTCCACTAGACTAAAACTTTCTATTTCGGAAAAAAGAGGACGGGGCAATTGATTCACATGTTAGGAACACGTATTTAGAGGATGGAGCTGTAGCTTGGAGAGTGTGACTTTCATTCTTATAAATTCAAAAATCTCTTGTACTTTCACTTGTGTAGGAATGGCCTTACGGTTGACTCAACAAAAATGTCCTTTGCTGAGATGATGACTGATGATGCACAGACATCTCGGGAAGAAAGATGCTTCAGGCTCTGGATTAACAGTCTTGGAATTGTTACTTACGTCAATAATGTTTTCGAGGATGTCAGAAATGGGTAGCCTTTCCACTATTCAGTTGGTTTATCATTCACATTTTCCTCACTCTGTTCACATCTGTCATCTACACATGTACTCGAAAGTTTTCCTTGACCAAACTTCTGGTTATGATTTTCTTTATTTCCTTTTCCACAGATGGGTTCTATTAGAAGTTCTTGATAAGGTTTCACCTGGATCTGTCAACTGGAAGCAGGCAACAAAGCCTCCTATAAAGATGCCATTTCGAAAAGTGGAGAATTGCAACCAAGTTATAAAAATTGGGAAGGACCTTAACTTTTCCTTAGTAAATGTTGCTGGTAATGATATTGTACAAGGGAATAAGAAGCTCTTACTAGGTTAGTTTCAATGATTTTCAGCTTTATGGTAGATTTGCATTGTTGGTGAAGCCGATATGTTTGTTTGATAGCATAGGAGTGACTAACAAGAATGTTCATCTCTGTTTGTCCAACAGCATTTATGTGGCAGCTTATGAGATTTACCATGCTTCAACTTCTGAAAAACTTAAGATCACACTCGCAAGGTAAAGAGATTACGGATGCTGATATATTGAACTGGGCAAACAACAAAGTGAAGAAAGCCGGAAGGACGTCTCAAATGGAGAGTTTCAAGGTAATAAAGCATAAAATCACCAGTTCTTAGTATATTGTGGTATTAACATGTATGCAAATATTTGATCTTAAGGTGGCTCAAAAAAATTGAAATTATGTAAATGTATTTACGTATAATACTTTTCTTGCTACTCTTAATTTTCATTAATCTGAAACTGTTATTAATATTCTCTCGTGTTAATTTTTCATTTATCTTATTTCATCAGGATAAAAATCTTTCCAATGGTATTTTCTTCCTTGAGCTTTTGAGCGCTGTAGAGCCAAGAGTGGTCAACTGGAGTCTAGTTACTAAAGGAGAAACTGGTATGTCAGTTTGCATTCAACTTGAAACTACTTAATTTAACATTGATGTGATGTGAATGTATCATCTTACAAACAACAATTGAAATGTTCAAATCACAGATGATGACAAGAAGTTGAATTCAACATATATCATCAGTGTCGCCCGAAAACTTGGATGCTCCATTTTCCTGTTACCTGAGGACATTATAGAGGTAATGTCAACAATAGTGTATGTAATTTTGCCGTGTTCCATGAAAAATCAACTTCACTGTTTTTGTTCAGTTGAAGAATGCTAGCAAACAGTGCTGTCCATTGCGAGAGCCAAAATCCCGCCATACCGGACGCTTTGTGGCGTTGCTATAACGGGTTATGGCGGAAAAACCTGCAATATCGGTCAATATTTACCATGGCGGCGAGCCCAAAAACCGCCATGTATATCTGCCATAGTGCTGCAATTGCGGATATTTGATAACACTGCTAGCAACACACTTAAGACACTTTCTTTTATTGATAAAAATTCATATGGATCCCACGAAATCTTGTGGTCCCATAGTATGTTGATGCTTACCTCAGATTATAGCATACTTTTAAACTGTTCTTAATAGGCTGAGAAATTTGATAGCTTATTTTGCATTTAACCTTGACAGGTAAACCAGAAGATGATACTTACTTTATCTGCTAGCATCATGTACTGGAGTCTGCAGCATTCTGAAGAAAACAGCAGCCCAGAGTCATCGCCTGTAGCTTCAGTAGATGGCGAACAAGAAACAGATTTAGTCAATGAGGTATCCGATTTAGCCATTGATGATAATGCTTCAGAGAAACCCAGCTCTCCTTAAGTTGGCGATATGGAAACTCTGCCGACATTAAAAAGGAAGCCTGTTAAAAAGTTGAAATAAATCACAGAATGAGAAAAATTCATTTTTGTTTATAGAACAGAAGGTCAAAGCCAGCCTCTTGGTGCTTGGCGCAAAAGAAAGAGCTTTTATTTTTTTTATGAAAAACCACAGATTATAGAAGGATCTTGTAAAATTTGTTTTAGTGTTTTTTTTATATTCTTTGACGAAAATCGTATGCATTTTTTTCTCAATAATAAGAAAAGAGAGCAAGGCATCAGTTTTATTTTCTGCTGATAGCCGATATTACTCCTAATGCGTTCTTGCCGGTTTGTGCCTGCACTCCATTTCAGTGAGTGGTTTTTCTAGTTCAGGTTTGGTATTGTATAAGCAGATAATTGGGATGGGGCATTTTAATTTATTTGTTTTTCCTTCAAATACAAAATTATTCTTTGTTTCTTTTCATAACTTGGTTCTGAAAATATTGCCAACAGAATTGTGAAATTCAACTGGTTTGAAACTCAGGAAGTCTTGACTTCATCTCAAATGATACCCTAAATAGAATTTGATATATATGTTGAAAGTAAATGCTACATGAATCTCATTAGGTACTCATTATTTTGTATTGACTTATATCATTAGTACCTTACTATCTTGAACAATAGGATTAATCATCTTAGTTTTACTGTTTTTACTGTTGTGCCCATGTTTGTCATACAAGGTGCCCATAATATCCATGAGTCATTCATATGATTTAGCAAAATCCTTTGTCGTCTCATTCATCTTTTCCTCTTAAATTTGGTTTTAGTAACAACATAGTTACCTCTATATCATATTTTAGGTTTATAATTAAAGCATCCTATTAAAACTAAATTTAGTTTCACAAAGTGTTACGTAAATATGTTTTATTTGAAACAGATAATTATGTACCACATAAGCACATGAAGTCTTATTCTTAATTTCTTTTAGTCATTATGATTCAAAGATAAACATGGTAACAAATTTACACAATTGCACTTCAATTTCTATAGGATTGAGGATATCCATTATCCATATATTCTATAACAAAAAGGCCTAATATACCATAACTTTCAAAGTGATGATTCTTTCAAAATGAGTTCTTGTTGTCTCTGTTATGAGTATACACATGTTGAGTTGGATGTTGAGACACGTGGTCCTTCATTAGGAACTAAATTTTTTTTCTAAGAGGGAATATTGATCTTTTTATTCATGGAACTGTAGCCAAATCATATAGCCTTCATATTCTTAGACTTCTCTCCAACTTCTAGCCTTCATATTCTTAGACTTCTCCCCAACTTCTAAGATTTCATCTCATATCAGAACAATTGTTCAATATACGTACAAATTTTGTCGTATTGTCAAGTTTGAACTTTAACAATGTGACTTCCTCTTCCAAACTTACAATGGTCGAGTCAAGGTTCTCTTTTTTCAGAAGTAGGTTAATTAAAATTTTCTTTTGTTTCTCTTCTCTTAGGCGAGCTTCCTTCCATTGAGTGAGCAAGAGTTTTTATGTATCAACTAGTTCTTCTTTTGAGATATCTTCAGCACTAGACTAACTGCAAGATTCATGTTTTTCAGTGAAAGTCATCACCTTATTAGCTATTTCTCATTCACTTTCATCATCAGAATCAAATCAAGTGATTAACAATCCGTTTTTCCGTTTCTTTAGAAAAGTAGGACATTTACCTTTAGTCTGATTAAACCCTTCACATTCATAATATTGTGCTCTGCCTTTGCTAGGTTTGTGATCATCTTTGCTCTTGCTCAGGAAGCTGATGTCTGACACATTGTCTGAGACATTTGTCTTCTAATTTTTGTCCAGCCTTCCCAAGAATTTATTACACTTTCTCCCAACAAGGGTTATAGCCTTTGTAGACTTTCTTCACCTTGAACTTCATCCTCTTCAGTGTTGGATACAAAAGCTATATTTTGTTTTTGTTTTCATATTTTTCATTTAAAGTCATATCAAAGGTTTGTAAAGAACCAAAGAGCTCATTAACTTTAATGTTGCTTATGTCTTGGCCTTTTCAATAGTCGTGACCTTCATATCAAACTTCTTAGAAAGAGGTCTGAGTAATTTTATGGAAAACTTTCTTCATACATCTTCACTTTTAAAACAAAAGAAGTGTTGACAATATCACGTAATTTGATGTTGAAGTTAGAGATAGATTTATTTTCATTTATTCTCAGATTCTCAAACTTTGTAGTAAGGAGTTGCAACTTTGACATTCTAACATTGGATGTGCCTTCGTGAGTAATTTTGAGAATCTCTCATGCTTATTTGACTTCAGCACATGTGTTGATTAATTTAAACATGTTCTTGTCAACACCATTGAAAATAGAATTTAAAACCTTGAAATTTCCAAGAGCTTCATTATCTTTGCATTTGTCCAATCAACTTTAGGCTTTAAGGTTGATGTTCTATCTTGAGAGTTAACACATGATATTTTCAACCTTTTATAACAACTTTCTATGTTTTGTTGTTTATAGATTTGAGAAAAGAAACTATTTTTGCATTCCAATAATCATAGTCGGTGTCATCCAAAACAGCTGGTCTATTGACAAATTCTCCATCCTTAGTGTTATCCATCTGAACATAAAATATCTTACATGGAGCTCCCCAAATAGAATAAGGTGTCTTCTCTAATACCAACTAAAATTTTGTTCTTACGAGTACATACGTTGGATCAGATGCTTAAGTCAATGTGTTAAACATCTTAAACCAAAATTGTCAGATAATGTAAAACAAAATGATGATTCATAAAGAAATAAAAGAACATCAACAATTGTTAACTCAAATAAATGTAGACAACACCTACGTTTGGGGGGCTTTCAAATCACATTTATCATTTGAACATCTTTGTCTACTTATCACATCTTCCAACAAAGTTTACCTTTGTCATATTTCTATATCACTTGGTTTAATTAAACAATTTTGAATTCAAGAGATTCACATGTATTACAAGTTGAATTTTTTACTTTCTCTAATTCCACATTAGAGTTATTAGCCTTACTTTCTAGAGATCAAATTAGTTTCTTTTGTTTTGAACATTTTCTAGAAAGATTCAAACATTCCTCATGTAATGCATAAAAAACATTTTGAAATTCACCGTATGAAGGCATATCATTAATTTCAGAAACACTAACCTCATTTTTTCATCATCATAATGGTGTAAAGCCATTAATTCCATCTTTTATTGCTCTTCATCTGAATATGAACTATCTCATTGTCATTTCATGCCACATCTACTTTATTTGGTATTTTATCTTTCTTGTCATTGCGTTTGTTCTTCTTTAGAAGTGTAGGGCATTCAATTTTGACATGTCTTCTTTTTTTACATTCAAAACAAGTAATCTTCCTTTTTGAAATCGATGCTTCTTTTAGACTAATTTCCTTTGTCATTTCCTTTCTCAAGAATTTTTTGAATTTCTTGATTAATGCATCATTTTCATCACTAGTGAATTGAGATTCATCCTCTTCATTACTATCATGGTCTTTGACTCTAGTTTTTAAGGAAAAACTATTGGATTTATTTCCTTGATCTTCATGCTTTTCTAGGATTTCAAGCTCTAACTCATGTTCTTGAAGTTTACCGAACCATCCAATGATTTGTTAACTATCTAGCCTTTCAAGCTCTAACTTCATTCTTTTCCAATATAGACGCTACCTTTGGTTTCCATTCTCTTGTCAACTATCTAAGAAATTTGAGATTTAAATCATCATTTGTAAATATTTTTTCAAGAGTCATCAATGATTTGTTAAGTGAGAGAATCTCTTTTGCAAATAAAAAATTGATTTACCGGACTGCATTCTAAATAATTTATATTATTGTGATAAAGTATTTAGTTTGGATCTTTTCACCTCTATCGTGCCTCCATGTGTTACTTCTAATGTATCCCAAACAAGGGTAGTCCAGTTCCTCCACACCCTGTGAAGGATTTCACTAATGTTAGATCTTTGTTTATGTACTTCTATGTTAGATCTTCTAACATAAACACCAAACATATGGTGGACTTTGAATCTCTCCGATTCAAAGGATATTTTTTAACAAACAGAAAGAACACCACTTTCTGTTTATAAATACATATTAAGTACAACCACTTTTCTTAAAGAAAAATCACCACACACTTGGTGAATAATTTACAACGCACAGATAAATTGAATACATACAACTTTGTATGCTTTCCGTCATCTTGAAAATTTAATCTTTTCTTTCAATGAACACATAAAGAATATATAAATAATTAAGTACTCAATAGTTAATGAAACATTTTCTCAAATGAATGAAATTTATGCACTAACATTTTTTTATGACATTGTATATGAACACTTGAAAAAAAATAAGAATCATTTGAAAAATATGATTGAAAGAGGTGATTTGAAATCTGAATTTTTTTGCTTTAAATACATCACAAGATGTCTCTTGAATGAGTGACAATGCTTGGAAAATGATCATGAGAATTTGTAATAATTTGGAAAGTGTATCATGATCATATGAAATGAAGAGGTATGTAGTGTTTCCGAATTTTCAAAATGTTTCAGGATGTCAATCAATTAACTTTATCCCAACGTTCAAAAAATATCAAAATTTGCATTATGTCAATTGATTGACTCAGTTAATTTTTCAATTTTCATTTTGTTTTACAGAGATCATATAAATCAATTGAGTGCTCGGGATCAATCGATTGATCTACTTAAAAACTTGAAAATTATCCATTTAAAAGTTGCGCTTTGGATGAAATTCATGCATGAATGTTTAGGAAACGCATAATAATATAGAATAAAATATTTTAACAGCACTTAAAGCTTATATACATATAAATTGTCATTGTACCTTAATTTTCAATCCTTTAATTTCTAAAGCTTATTCAATCTTGATACTTGATTTCAATTTTTTTCTTCTTTGATATTTCTTCTATGATAAATTTTTGTCTTCATCAAAATTAAGTTAAGATAGATGATGAACGTCTTCTTCACAAGA